GGTCCGGGACAGAGGTCAGCGCACGGAGGCAGTGAGGCCTCGTGTTCTGAAGTCCAGAGGGCACTGACTCAGCCAAAAGGACTATAACTTAAGCAGTTTAAAGATACCGTTTATTATCACTCTGGACTTTTTAAACTCTATTCCCATGCCAGTCTAATTATTTTTACTATTTCAATTCTGTAACAACACTTTGAAGTATCCGTGCCTAGTTACCAGTACTGAATTACAAATTATTCACTGCACTCATTTGAGTGCACATGACAATAAAGGCTATATTATTCTAATGTTGGAATAGAAAAGCCCTTAAAAATCAAATCTAATTTAAAAAATCAATGAATTTTATCTTAAATCATCAAAAGAAAAGCATATAGTCACACTTCCTTCGGAAATTTATGGTTGTAGTATTCTGTTCACGTGGTTCGGACATCTGTGAAAGAAGTCACCAGACTATAATGAGTGTGTAAAAAAGAGGGTCTTAGATACTACATTAAAACTATTTTAACATATTTACAGTTACAAATAGGAGTATTCAGTTGAGAAACCTTCCTGAAAGATAAGGAGCAAGCAGCTTCACAGACAGGCACTACATGAAGCACAAGAAGAAACATCTAGGGGAGAAAACATCCAGAGCCAGGATCTGAAGTTAAAATCAAGCGCAAGTAACATAGCTGAAAAGAAGACATTGAAAGCAGCACAGTTCCTGGGAAAGCTTAAAAGATGTAGCTGAGTAAAAAGTGGGAAGATTATAAAGGCAGGTCAAGATCTCCGAAGACTTAAAGTTACAGAGCTACAGAATGGGAAACAACTCTGAAGAGTAGGGAGGGGGGGAATAAGAAAAAGATTTTCTGAATACTTTGAAGCCTAATCAAGAACCAGCAATACTCTGAGTAAAAGAATCAAACACTTCAACAATAAAAAGAAAAACCCAAATGCTCATGGAGGTCAGATGGTGCTAAAGACCATAGGTATGGCAGCTCTGGTAGAGACTTTCTCCCATTACCTCTGCTAGACCAGATGCAAGATCTCTAAAAGGGGCAGTTCCAGAACTGCAGAATGGTTTTGGACCTACATATGAAGGATCAGTGCCATCAAGTCGTCATTTTTCTTTCTTCTAGGTCTAATTGCTGATGAGGGTTTAGTAAGACAAAACTTGAAAGAAAACGCTGTACAATGCATTCAAGCATTCAGCATGTACTTGGTCCAAAAAGAAATTTTGTGATTAAAACTGGTGAGATTTAATGAGCAGTTGTAGCCTTCTGTAGGATCAGTAAAGCATTTTTAATGGATTTGCATGGCCTATTAGAATGTTGTGTTACTGAGTTTTTGAAGCAGAAATTAATTTTAAGGCCATGTAGTAGTTAGTGTGAGGAATGCAATTTATCAGACTTAACAGACAGAAATCAGACTCCAAAATCAGTCAATACTAAAGGAAACATCAGAGATTGTCCTGACTGTTGTCGAATGGGTAAACCCCAAATGGCACCATCGTGAGGCCGAAAGCCCACCAAAAGAGTGGGAAGCATCAAGATCAACCATATTAAGTTGTACCAGATACTCTTAAACAGAATCAGTAGAGAAACAAATCAACAATAGGCTAAGGTTAATGCTAGAACTGACCAGCAGGAACTTTTTAAAATTAAAAATGGTAAGTTAACAGCACCTTCATGTCAAACAAATCCTGCAAAAGGAAAATTTCAAGGGAAATGGAAATCATGCAACAAGAAGAATGCTCAAGAAGTTAAAGTTTATAGAACAAAAAAGTGAAGGTAACATTCCTAAGGGAAATCAGTCAAAATGGATTCAGCGAATGTACAAGGGTTTCAAACAGAATGTAACAACTGCTCCTATATAGCATTTAAAATGTTGGTAGACAATTTGCCATGGTTGAAGTCAGTGTGTCAGACAGCTAGCATAACATGTTTCCAGGAGGCACACGTTTCCAGGTGCATGGGAAAATCGTCACGAAGATTGAAGTATCAGTGAAACAGTATATATACTGAAAAATCAGGATATTTTGTTAAGCAGAAATGCAAGTATTCGTCAAAGTCTCTTACAGTGAAAACAAAACTTTAGAATGAGGACAGGAGAGGATTTTGGGAAAAATTTTCATAGCTATTCAAAGTTTAGGCAGTTTAAACAGGAGTATCATATTTCTGTGCAAGAAGATGCTAAACCTATCTGCTTATACACTCCTGGAAATGTTCCTCATTCCTTGATGTGAAAAGTAAATCTGGTAGACAGTTTGTGCGAAAGTGGTGTAAAATCACCTGTGGCAACAAAAGTGGTGGTGCTCAGGCGCTCACTATTGTGGCGCAGAGAAGCTATTCAGCCCACTGTGTCTGCACTGGCTGTGAACATTTATGATGATGCCATTCTTGTGCTTTTTTTTTCTCCCACAATCCTGAATATTGTTTCTCTTTAAATAATTATTTAATATGCTCTCTTGAATGCCTTAGTGATAGATATGCAGCACGGAAACAGACCCTTCAGTTCAACTCCTCCATGCCGACCAGATACCCTAAATACAGTCCCATTTGGCCCATATCCCTTGAAACTCTTCCTATTCATATCCCATCCAGATGCCTTTTAAATGTTGCAACTGTACCAGCCTCCGCCACTTCCTGTGGCAGCTCATTCCAAACATGCACCACCCCCTATGTGAATATGTTGCCCCTCAGGTCCTTTTTAAATCTTGTCCCTCTCACCTTAAACCTATGCACTCTAGTTTTGGACTCCCCACTCTGGGGAAAAGACCTTTCCTATTTACCCTATCCATGCCCCTCATGATTTTATAACCCTATATATAGTCACCCCTCAGCCTCCAACGCTCCAGGGGAAAATAGCCCCAGCGTAATCAGCCTCAATTGAAACTGTTTCCTCCATGCTTCCAGGTAATGAATTCCAGACCCTAACTGTTTGCTCTGTTAGACTTGTCTGGCATCACATTTGCTTCATATGAAAATTATCTTGTACCTGTGCCCCCTTGTTCTCAATCCTTTCATTGCATCATTCAGGCGATTATTTCCTCAATCAATTACTATTTGGGATCTCTTCTGCACCAATGTTTCAAAATCTGGGACGGAAAGCGGGAACCATTTACCATTTGGATGATATCCCTTCTGTGTTTTATGATGTATGAGGATATGTCTGTAGGGTCAGAGACATATTAAAAGCAATACAGAATTCCAGTCTGGCAGTAAATGAGAAATTCAGGCTTGGACTATTAAGATACATGACTGTCTTAACCAATGCTCCAAGCAAGGTGCAAGTATAGCAGATACACATTCAAGAATGAGTAACTGACTGGATCGAGCAGAAAAAAATCTGAGTTTTATAGACACCATAAGAGTCTTAGTCTATGGCCATAACCACCACATTACCAGTAACTGAGGCAAAACTGCAGTCAATCTGACCGCAAAGCTGGCTAAAAGATAATCCAGCACCATTAGCAAAAACGTGCCACACAGCCAAATGCTTATGCTTTCAACAAGGTTTCGAGAAAGCCCACGGAAAAAGCTATCAATGTATTTTTTCAGTTTTAGAGGGAACGTATATTTCATCCTGAATCGTTTAACCACAACAAACTGTAGCTCTGCACTCATCTTTGTAGCCGGTTACGGGAGAATGTTAGTATTAAGCAATGGGCCTCAAGTCATAAGCAATTTTTTAAAAAATCTTAATTCATTCATGGGATGTTGGCTTTGACTAAGCCAGCATTAATTGCCTATCCATAGAAGGTAATTAAGTGTCAGCTGCATTGCTGTGGGTCTGGAGTCCCATGTAGGCTAGACAGGATGAGGATGGCAGTTTCCGTCCTTAAAGGACAGTCGTAAACCAGAGATTTTTGACACTTAGCAGTGGTTACGTGGTCACTGAGGCTAGCTTTTTAATTCCAGATTTTGACTGAATTCAAATTTTCAGTGTTTGCTGTAGTGGATTTGAACCCATAACTGCAAAGCATTCGCATGAGATCCTGATTTATTAATCCAATTATGTTATCAGTATGCCACGCTACCTCTTTCAGGAAGTTCACTTGGGAGGTAAGCATGTTATGGGTGATAAGCTGTCCACTCTAGCCTTGAATAGAAAGGCAGAAGGACTACTTGGGACTGAAGTTATTGTTGCATAAGAATCCAGGATGGGAATTAATGCTGCGAAGTTACAATCATCAGAAAAACAGGTCGATAAAGACCCAGTTTATGAATATAAAAGATGACCTGTTTAAATTTCCTTGCTTTCTGTCTCTTGCATTCACTCCCTCACAAGAATAAAATCTGACAAAGTGAAAAACACTTTTGGCTGAAAATAATTCTTTCTTGCAGGAAAGATATGGTGTCAAATGTTCAGATGGCCATTGAACTAGTGTTGTGGTCACTAGAAACTTGTTCCTAAAGTCTTGGCAGATGCAGCCTGATTCAGTGTTGAGAATTCTTCCGCATGCTTTTTAAGAAGTCAGTTCAGTTTCACACTGGAAGTTCAATTAGGGCATTTCAGGAGAGCAGAGAGAAGATCTAGCAGTCTTTTCCCTAATGTATTCCCCAACTGAGAACTAAACCATATCCAAGCAAAAATTCCCCTTTCCCAGGGAGGCTAAACAATTAGATGAAACTGACAGCCAAGAAATAGCTTGTTTCCAATCCCCTAGATGACCTTTCAACTTTCACCAGGTGGTAGTATTGGCTTAAAGCACGAGATAAAGCAATGGTATGTCTGGGTTCGGAGAAGGGAACCCTGATGCGGTTAGTAAAGTATAAGTAACATTATTGTATATTTTAAAATAACGTTTTGTGGATAATTTAATCTTTTGGGTGCCAGCAACTTTAAATGACTGCAGGTTATTGTAGGTGTATTTTTGAAGTCTGCTCAATCTACAGTACAGCTAACTAATATTAAAGTAAAAGAAAGACAGCATATTTCAGACTAAGATTTTGATCAGCTACCTGCAGGATCTTGCATTAAGTAAACTGAGTTTGTACTTGCTTGTAATTGCCTTTTTTGAGTAGTTTTGCATTTACATGCTAATTAACCCTGAAAGTCTGGCGTTTGGGGGGAATTTGACTTCTTTGGATGACAAACCTCACTTGTTGCTGATGTGATTTTGAACTGCATACTTGTGTTGATCTTGATCCATAAAAGTTCTGTTTTCAGAAAAACTGAGCTTTTTAAAGCTTATTTGCATCACCACCTTCAGGGTGACTAGGGACAGGCAATAAATTTGGGTATTGCTGGCTGAAACAACATCACACGAGTGAATAAAAATTAAAAATAGTTGTTCACATCAAAATGTTGGCTGAAAACATGCATACAATCTGGGAAATAATTTTTCCATGCTTTTAAGGAATCTAAAATTAACTTTTTAGAGGGAGAAAATTTAAAATAATTCTACTCTGGTAAAAATTGAACTTTTAGGCTTCTTGGGTAATATTCCTAACAGTAGTCTACACTCCCCCAGAAATTTGAGTAAATATACTTTGGGACATTTGACACTCCAAGTTACTAGTAAATACAATTTTTTCAGTCTTTTTATCTTTCCAACTTGTGACTTCTGTGATGTTTTCTGTTCTTGAGATGCATTGCTTATTTTTAAACTATTATCTGCTGTCAATAAAACATGCCCCTATTTCTGTGAAGAAAAAAATGTAATATTAGAAGCTTGGTATTGGGAAAAAGCTTTATGACTTCACAGATTTATTTTTCTTGACCTTTTCTTTTGATTTTGTTGGCTCGCTGATTTTATAACTTGTAAGTCATCCTGTTTGAATGTGTTGTGAGACATCTCCACTGCAACTGGGACATGAACCCAGACCTTCTAGCCCTACTGCTGTGTCATAAGAGTTCTCTTGAAATTGAAGTTAAATTTCACCACCTACCTTGGGATTGGAACCCAGGTCTGCAGAGCATTACCTGGCTTTTTGCATTCCTAGTCCAGTGACCGACCCCCGGTCCCTTCCCATTTTATAAATTGTATTTGGGTATTAATCAGGATCATTGAGTCTTAGATCTACTACAGTGACTTTCGTTGATACCAGTGGAAATTTTTATGTAGCCCAGAATGTTACAAACTGGCTTCTTTTTGACAACTGTGCTTTTTATTGGGATTTTAGGGAGGGATAGTGGTGAAACTGAAGACATTACTGTTTCTGTTTTTGGAGTTCATTTAAGGAAATTTTAAATAGCAGTGCTGTTGAATAGAATGCATTTCTTCTTGGCCCATAGGTACAGCATTAAATACTCTCAGGATCAATATAAATAGAGGTTTGGTAAACTGTTAATAATACTCAAACCAGGAGTTTACCTTTGTCAGCTTCTAAATAACAGTCCCTGTTGTCCAGTTTAAAAGTGCCATTTATTCCTCCAAGCCCTCCTTACAGCTCCTTTGTCAAGATTTGGCTTTGAGTTATGACTGCCCAAACTCCCCCCATCAGGAACCATGAAACTTTTAATTTTCCCTTCATCTGTTCAGTGCAGATTTTCAGCCCAGGTCTGCGTAGTTCAAACTTACTGAATCCCATAGTCCATGATTTATTGTCCCCCTTGAATGAAATTGCATGTGGCAATTTATTTTTTCCCATTACAGGCACTCCTATTAAAAGAAAAACAAGTCTACTGAGTAGAGATAGTGTACAGAGAAATTAATGAAATGAGTAAAGCTGGCTTGGCAAGCTTCAGTGAGTTCTTGCTTAAATTGTGATGCTATTGCAATCCACTGCTACTGATTTTGACCACTAGCATAAACTGACAAATGTATCTTTCTAAAAATCCAAAACTTAGAAGCATTTAGTACATAATTCTACTGCCGATGGACCCAGGAAGGTGAAGTCTTGTGAATTACACTCCTTTCAGTACATGGGCATCTGATAAGTGAATGTGAGAAATACTAAAATTATATCTCACCATTAATCTAAATTTTATTGTTATAGACTCAAGTTGGACATCATCATCTCTTAAAAGAAGATTTAAAAACATTAACTGGAATAATTTGTCTTTTGTAGATGAAGTTGTTCCACGAAAAAGATCCAAATCTGAAGATATGGAAAGCAGTATATCCAAGCGGTGTCGGTTTTCTGGAGATGAATATGAGGCTGCCTTAAAAGTGAAGATCACTGCAAGAGGGGAGATCCGGAATACGCTTGAGAAAGTATGAGACCTGGACTGTTGAGTCTCTTTTGGCTTGAGCAAACACCGGTTCACATTATTTTCTCAAGTCATTTGTGAGATCATTAATTTATCGCATTAATTATTGGGAAGGTGAAGATGCTATTTGGTCTCAGTGCCAAACTCCTTTTCCATAGTTCGTTACTGGCTTTGACTCTTCTTGCAATAACCTGAGAATAAACCAACCTGTTTGCAATTTTGGTGTCCTATTTACCGGCAAGATGAGGGTCCAGCCGCATATGTGCGCTAGCATAAAAGCTGCTTATTTCCACCTCTAAAACTTTGCCCCACCTGAACATGTCCAATGCAGTATCCCTCACTCATCCCTTTTGTTTCCTCTAGACTTGAGTATTCCAGTTAATTCCTGACTGGCCTTTTTGCATTTTATCCTCGTAAGCATGAGGTTATTCCAAAGAACTCCTTTTAATTTGCACTTGTTCTTGTTCCTGTCCCTGTATTGCCCATGTGCTCACTTATCAAACAATGTGCTGATTTTCAACTTTTCATGACTTTCTCTGTAATTTCCTTAAATCCTTGAATGTCTTCACTCATTGTATTCTAGCCTCACGAGTATCCACAATTTTAATTGCTCCGTAATGGTAACCACACCTTCAGTTTCCAAACCCTGGAATTCTCTCCCCATTTCTGCTGTCTGCCTAGCTTTTCTACTTGAGGACACTCCTTTTAAAACCTAGCCCTCTGACCAACGTTTTAGTTATCTGGCCAAATGTGGCTTAGCAACCTGTCCTAACATATGTTGCTGTGAAGTGTATTGAGGTTTTATTATGTTAAAGATGCTATATAAATAAAGTTTATGAAATGTGAACATTCTAGGCGGAAGGCTGTCTACTGACTTGTATTTGGGTGGAGAAATAGTTGGAAGGGGAGCAAAACAACATAAATCATTTGAAACTGATTAATGGATGAAAGACAAATGTTCACAGTAGGTGACACTGGTTTTCTTTTGTAGATTGTTCAGCAGATCATTGAAGAACGCATTAGTGCCATGCAGAGTGGTGTTTTTGACAAGAAGCTGGCAGAGCTGAGGAACAGAGTAGAAAAAATTGAATGTAATACAAGGCATGAATCTTTAATCAGTGGCTTACAGGCAAGTACTAAAATCTGCAACTTTCTGCAATGTCCAGTGTAGAAACAATTTGGAAATTTTGCGCTAATGCATCACTCCATATCACTGCCCACTTCATATGCCCTTGTGCCATGAACAACCAGAGCATGATAATCTTGCAGCAGTAATTGAATTTTTCTGTAGTCCAGCCTCCCAGCTTAATGTGCATTAACAGTTGGTTTTCTGACTCAGTGCACAGTAAGATACAGTTCTAGTGACCTAGCTAGCAACCTTGTAACTGCTGAATTGTGGTCATGTCTCTTTGATGTAAATTTCTGAAGGAATAAAAACTAGATGACAAAAGATGTGAATGCAGAAGATTTATACTTCAAAACCTTACAACTATTGAAGGATGTAGTTTTGCAGCAACCTATGGCTGAAAGAAAGGTGGCAAAAGCAAACAAACCTGTTCTACACCTGTTTCCATCAACTTGCATTGGCAACAGCTTCTTTGCAATTCAGGCATTCTGCTTTTGACATGTAGCTGTTGTGCAGTACTTTTTCCGTTTAAGCAAAACTTGCTGCTTTAATTATACAATTAATTATAATGTTAGAAAAATTCTGAAAGGCACAACTTAAAAATGCGTAAAAATATTGATCAGAAAATACCAATTTAGGATTTATGCTTTGACATTTTTTTGATCTATTGTGACAGTCCCAGAATTGTGCATGCTCAGCAATTACCTCCAAGTCATGTACTATGAGAGAGAAATGCACCAGCTGCAAACACCTTGGCTATTTTGAAAGTGCAGAAATCTTAACAGGCATTATCTTAACCTTTACTACTCATCTGCTTTTTGAGTGTGCTCTGATTGTACTGTACAAGCATCTGATGTCATTACGCCAGATAGGTACGTTATGATTTGGTGAATATGAAATTGAATCTGATCAGCAAGTAGAAACGAAAATCGATGTTCAGAACTGGCAGTTAACAATAACCGCAAATATAGTAAACAAAGCAATTTACTTATTGTCAAATGACTTTCCATATGTGCACTCAACAGTAGTAAAGGATTCTAATACAAGAAATCATATATTTTTTCCAGTTCTTCCTTTGTATTGGGAGTAATGGCATGTGTTTTATGAATTTATTAAAAAATAACTGATTTTCTATCAAATCAACCCATCTTTTGACTTTCCCTGAATAATGTTATATTGCATTTTGTATTTCAAATCCTGAATTGAAAATTTATTTAAATTCTCAACAGCATAAAAATGGGCATGGCCCAGTCCGCTATCATTGTTTAGCTGATTTAATGCAGTCTAGCATTGTTCAGTAATATCAGTGAAAGGACTACCAAACGTCAAACTCAACAAACCTTGCCACTTTAATCAATGTATATCGATGGTATCGAAAGATGAAAGCATCCCTTAGGTGTGGAAGCAGACCATTCGGACCATTGACTCCGTACCAACCGTCCAAATAGCAGCGTCCCACCCCTAACCTATCCCTGCATTTCTAATGGCTGGCTAACCTAGCTAGCCTGCACATCCCTGGACAATGAGGCAATTTAGCATGGCCAGTCCACCTAACCTGCACATCTTTGGACTGTGGGAGGAAACCAGAACACCCAGAGGAAACCCACGCAGGCACGGGAGAATGTGCAAACTCCACTCAGACAGTCACCTGAGGATGGAATCGAACCCAGGTCCCATGCGCTGAGAGGCAACAGTGCTAAACACGGAGTCACTGTGCTGCGCCAAACTAAACTTTTCAAGGATACAGGACGAAGTCTTTTAGTTGTGCATCCTTATTCAAACGTACCAGCTTTGTCTACCTCTATAGACAATTTAATTTTTAACTGTATCCTCTAATGACAATACGGCTAGTGTATCATTTTATAGTTGCATTTTACAAGTGAACATTGTTTTACTTATCATTCAATATGATGGATGAGCTTGTTTTTGGAAACAGAAACATTTGAAGTTGGGAGGAATATGATAATTTCAATACAAAGTGTTTTCAATGTACATGTGCAACCCCCCCCCACCCACCGCCCTTCCAAATTGGTGCACTCCACAGAAGTGGTTCCTGGGGTTAAAGGAGAGCTCATAGCCCCAGATGTGATCTTTAATCACAGGTTCTTTGTCTACCATGCTAGCTGTCCTTTCAGTCAGACCTATACCCTTTGCTGTTTCCACTAGTCTGACTTGTGCTTTTCTTGCTTGAATTTGTGTTCAAACCCACTGTCTGTTATATATAATATATATAAAAACGTCAGATCTATAACGGGATGTTCTCATCCCTAAAAGCATTAAACAAAGTCTGCCTTTATACAGTTTCTTCTGGCCCCAGGGTACCTATAGGATTGCTGTACCCTAAGGATATATGTGCCCCACTTTAACAACAACTGGTGTACACAATAGCTGTGAAAACTACCAATGATTTGTTGATTCATGGTACAAGTAAAAGCAGTTGTCCATCTGGCCTCAGGGCCAACTAGTCTACCTCTACGACTTATTGTGACTGATAACGTGATGAAGCATGAATAAGATATAGCATCATAACAGGTATGCTTGTATATCTGAAAACATAGCTGCCATTGAAATAGTGAAGTCACTTTTATTTATGCTGTTTCAAAACACCTCAGTTAATTACTTTTGAAGTGCAATTCTCCTTTTAATATAGGAAACATGGCAGACAAATTGCAATCAGTAATGCTCCACAAATAAAAATGAGATAATGACCAAGTAATCAAATTAGGTGATCTCGTTTGCAGCTCTCTTAGTTGCCAGTTATCCTGTGTGCATTTCCAGTATTCCAAGATTTATAGTTCTTCATTTAAGTGCAATCTAATTGATAACTCTTGTATCCAGAATAATACTTGACAATTGGCCTAGGTGTACGGGATCACTGGGGTAAGATTATTTTGTGACTAAGATTTCTTTTAAAATGATTGTGCTCTTGGGCTTTTCTGCAGGCAAAACTCATGCAGATAGAGAAAAGGCTAGGATCAGCAAATCAAGCTCGCAATGATTCTGCCTCAAAGAAAGCACAAGAGGTAGGTATCGAATGGGACTAAACTTGTTTACAAAGAATGTACTTCAACCTTGTCGCAGTGACCAAATAGTATGTTAGTGGTGGCTCAATGCCTTTCTGGATCTGTTTAGGGTTAACTTTGAAACTTGCAGCAATTCCTGAAAATATTCCTCGTCTCTTATGTATTTTATCCTATCAAGATCTTGGAGTTACTTTGTGCAAATCCGTTATTAAAACGGTGTTACTTCTGGTACTTACTTTTGTATCCCTGCTGTGCCAGCTAAAATCTGAATGCAAATTTAACTTTTTAATCACCTACTAACTTGGACAGATACTATCTTGGTCGTTTTAATGTTAAACATTGCTAAAATGAGTCTAGAAATTGAATGTTCACCCTAGCCCTCATCAGAACTAAGACACCAAAAAGACTTGAGGTGGGTGGGGTTGCGGGGGGTGGAGGGGAGGTGAAATAACTCCACCGAGGCTACTACCTGTCACCAAGTCACCCATTCTTTACACATGGAGAGCGCTTGGCACTGATCCAGCTTCCTCAGAGACAGCCCTGAACAGAACCTCTCACACTTCTGCCTATATCTGGCAGCAGGGCTCCCTGATTGGGGCTATTAATCTGGTCCAATCAGGGCACTCATTCTGAGGTCCACCTAGCTGACCTTGTTACGGTCACTACAGGACAGCACCATTTTATACAGAATGTGAAGAGGGTGCTGATTTGTTGGATCGGGGTTGGTGTGGAGATGCAACAAGAACAGTTAATTGTCACTCTTCATTCTTAGACCAAGCAGGTAGATTCTGATTTGGGTTCCCACAGGGATGCAGCAATAGTTGGCTGTTTATGGGACTCCTTTTGAAAAAGCTACAATTTAAGATTATTAACTGGGCCTGCAGTGTGATGCATTTGCGCATGCTAGAAGTTAATTATGTAAATACTCAGGATCCTGTTTTAACTGGGTAAAAAGTACAGTGCAAGACAACAAGGTGCAGGGCTGGAGGAACCCAGCAGGCCAAGCAGCATCATAGGAGCAGAGAGGCTGACGTTTCGGGCCTAGTACAGTGCGCCTTTTTCAAAACACAACTGTCAAAGATGTTAACGGTCCAAGTCCCACCAAAACATGGATGTGTCCACCATTCATTAATCTCGTTGTCCCCGTTGTGGAGTCTGGAGAGTCTTCCTGTTGTACTAGCATGTATAAGCTGGCATTCAGCAAATCTGTGACCTCTTGTGCAACTGAGTGAGTGTTTTCCTGATTTTTTCGGGCATGGTCATTTGTCAATACCCCTACGTCTACAGTGCTTAAACTTTCACTACAGGTGATGTGGCAGCTCACAGATATTCCTTGTCTCCTCGTTAGATATGGAATCGAGCATGCAGTTCAAGTAATACACAAAATGTGTTGTGTTTTTTTTTGAGATATTGAGGGTATAAATATCATTTCAAATGATTTCAGGATTGTTATAGCCTTCAGTACAAATTGAGTCTAGCCTCTTAGGTATTTCCCATTTTCAGTGCAATTAATTTTTATCTTGAATACGAAGAGTAGGAAAGAAATATGTTGGCATGTGTTGATGGTGTTGCATAGACGTTAGCTGAACTTATTCAGTAACCTATGTTTGAACAAAATGCAAGGTTTCATTGAATGTGTTGTTCAAGTAAAATAAGTTTATGCTTCTGCTCTCAACTAGGAGAAGAACAAAAGATGGAAGCGAAGCATTGGTTTTCTCTAGCCACATGACTGATATTCCTGATTTAGAGTTTATTAAACTTCTCTATAAAACTTTGCAAGGAAATAAAATTGAGTGAGAATCTGATCTTTTAGAACCTTTGTCACCATTTACGGCAAAATTGCTATTTAGGTTTCCCTGTTTCCTCTGTCCATGGCTGCAAGAATTTTCTTCAATGCTGAAAATGTGGCAGCCAATACATTGTTTTACCATTTTGGTTCTTGTGCATAGTGACTTAATAAAAGATATGTTCATGTCCATCCGATCTCTTGCCCAGAAGAGATTAATTAACAGTGAGCATAAAGAAAGATTGAGTGGAATTATTTGTTTTCTCACCTGGTATAATTGAACCTGCTTTTAAGGGCTATAAGACCATAAGAAATAACAACAGAAATAGGCCATTCTGCCCTTCGAGCCTGTTCTACCATTCAGTGGCATCATGGCTGACCTAACGACATTCTTCATCCACTCTCCTGTGGTTTTCCCCATAACCCTTGATTTCCCCTACTAATGAAGAATTATGTAGGACTTTGTTAATCAATTGTAGTGAAAACTATGGTGTCCTTATAACATGAATCATGGTTTTTCCACTGAACTTGCAGGCAGCAAACACTTCTGAGATGCTGATGACTATGAAATACTGTAAGGATCCTGAACTTTTATTGCAGCTTGTAAGATTATTCTATTCAATGTCCTTAGTATGCATGGATTAGTTGGTTGGTTTACAAGTTTCCTTTTTTTGCACTTTTATTTCTGTAGTTAAGGCTTTCTCTTTAGTTCAAAACTTCCAGTCCCTAATGTTTTATGTTCTATTCATGCGAGTTTTGGTGGGGATGGGGGATGTGTTATAAAATAATTTGTTCTGCAACTTGTTCTACATTTGTTTTTAAAATGTTTGTCTTGTGTTGGTCAGGTGGCTGTCAAGTGTCATTTGTAATATTGATTTACATTGTTTGAGGTTTCTAGAATACAAACTAATTTTTTACATTAGTATATTTATTTTGGTAATTCATAGAACTAAAACAATCTGCCCAAACTAGATTAAAGAATGAGCAGATGATAAAGGCATAAAGTATACGTTCCATTAAAAGGATAGCTATTAATGAATATAACCTAAAGAAATTTAGCACTAAGTCAAACATTACTAATACTTTCACAGACTTCCATAATTTCAAAAGATTTGTTTTGCATTTTCTGGAGTTTGCCATTGCAACTGTTTGCTTAGCAGTACTGAAAATGTGTTTATGCATAGCTATTGTGTGAGTAACAAGGTTAGCAAAGTAGCAGTGACTCCTGGGTCCATGAAGAGAGAAATGTAAGCCTATTTCAGAATACTGTTTTGGGTTTGATACCTACTAATTGCACCGGTCCTTGCGTGGAAGTCGGAACTTGTAAAGCATTGGCTGGAAGTTGAAGACTGTGTAGAAGACACTAAATAATGTAATTGATTTCTTTTAAAAAAGAATGCTACAGGTTTTAAGAAGCAAGCATTTACAACAAGTTATCAAGAAAGCTAATAGAACTTTATGGTTTATTGATGGGGAATTGAATGCGAGAGTGGGGAGGTTATGCTTGTTATACCAGGTATTATGAGACTGCACCTTGAGTACTGGAGTATTAATCACCATAATTGGGTTGCTAATGTGTTTGGAACAGCTCAGAGAAGGTTTACTAGATTAATACCTGGAATGAGCAGATTGCCTTATGATGGAAAGCTAGGCCTGTATTCTGTGAAATTTAAATGTCAGCGACTACAATTGAAACAGAAGATTCTATATGGACTTGACCACCTGAATGTCGAAAGAACATTTCCTCTTGGGGGAGAATCTAGAACTAGAGGTCATAGTTTGAGGTGAGGTCCATTTAGAACAGATGAGATTTTTTTTTTTTTGAGTTGAGTCTTTGGATTCCTTTCCTCAAAGTTGTAAGTATTTACAGTAGAGGTAGACATCCCCTTGGTAATCATCAGAATATGCAGGAATATAGAATGGAGATTAAAATCAGATCAGCCATGATCTTATTGGCAGTGCCATTTTGTTTCTCGTTCACGTGTGACTCATCAGGTTGGAAGATTTAATGGTCAGCCAGTCTATTTTCTAGCCAGTCAACAACCTTTTGGTTACTTTTATAGCATACACAGCAAGTAGCTGGTCTTCCCTAATAACTAATGTGTATAAGCAGAAGCTAGACAAGTTCAAGAGGGACAAAAGAATAGAAGGATATGTTTTTGGAAAAGAATTAATGAAAACAGTGTATGGAGGTTTCTGTGGGCATAAATTCTAGACTTGATCAAATAACCTATTCCTGTGCTTTCCACTTTAGGCAGATCCTGAGAATGCCAGGCATGTATTAATTGTTAGCTGGTGATTTGAGATATAGAATATGCTGAATGCGTGTAGATGTTATGGGGTGGGATCATGGCATAATCAAGTATGTTGAAGTTTGTGCTTTTTTTCCCTAACATTTAAGCAGTTGGGTCTTTATGTTTGTAAACATTTTGCAGCAATAATTTTCTCCAGAAAATAAGGATCAGCAAAATCTAGAGGTTTTATTAAACCCGTTAGTGTCATCAACAATAACCTGTGAGTTACTAAGTAGAAGGTAATTAAGAGTCACCACTCTGCTGAAGTCTCGCATAGGCCAGACCAGTTAAGGGCAGCAGATTTACTCCCATTTAAGGAAAGTAGGGAACCAGCTGGGATTTTAGTGCGCTTTGGTAGTTTGATCACTCTTAGAGTTTTATCCTATTTTATTTCAGATTAATTAATTGAACTTAAATTTCATTGGCTGTCATGATGACATTGGAATTCATGTCCCTGGAACTTTTTGTTCAGCCCATTAGATTACAAGTCCAGCAATGTTGCCATTATTCTACTATTCACCTACTGCTCTGAACTTGGCTCAAACCCTAAATGGTATTTGGAAGCTTACAGGGAGAGACAGTGGATTGTGGGTCATTGATAGGAGACCTACTGGATTTCCTTTACGGTTGCACATAAATAATCCTGTTAATGACCTTTGGAGCAGCTGTTCTGTTGTATGTGAAGACTCAAATTATTGGTATTTGAGAGATGATGAAATACCACAGAACTCTTTTAATAAGGTATTAATCTTTGAGTGAAGGTGCATGGAAGTACTTCATTGAAATCATTGCTCTGCACAAACCGTTAGTGCTCTAGAAGATATTACAAATAGGAATAATGTTCTAGCTCTAACATGAACACAGCCAGGCATAGTTATGAATTATGGCCCATTGGGGTTTTTAACTCCTATTAACACTTG